CGATCCAGTCTCTGAGGTCCCACCCCACTCGTGTCTCTGCGGGATAAAGAGATCAAATCCTCGTCTGTAGAAGTATTTACATTTTCACACTCATTGTCGTAAACTACGGACGGAATTCTGTGAGTAACTGTCTCTGGAATAATCGCATCATCTTCACGAACTATGTGGACCGTATCCCAAAAATTATTAGCATTGTGATTCCCTCCATCCGAGTCTACTTGTTCACCTTCGACAACATCCTTCCTCACTAAAGTCACGCAAACAGGAGTCGGTGTCTATTGTTCATTTTAAACAGATAATTCACTTGGGCACAGAAGAAATCGGCATAGGTGGAATCGAAACACCTTGATCGCCGAACTTAAATTTCAATTCAATGTCATACTGAGAGGGATCGACATTCAGCTTGTTCTGTAAAATATTTTAGAGTTCTGCATATGATGTTGTGTCTGTTATGAAAATTGGGATACTACTACGTTTATCGCTCATCCATTTTCATATTCATCGATCTCTTTCGTCCAATTCGAAATCACCAAAATAACAAATTGAGACTACAACCATATCTGTATGACGAAATAGAATTTTTAATTACAAGAAAACTATCGAAGGCATAAAATAGCCCAAAAATTTAAAAAAAAATAAAACAGCAGCCGGCTGTTTGCTAAAACAGTCGGCCAAATAGTCGGCTGTCCAGTCGATGGCTGGCTGTTACATGTTGGCTGGACTTCCGGCCGTTCTACCAGCTGACTAGATAACCGGCTATTAAAATATGCAGATGAATTTTTCCTCGTCAAATGCTTAAATTTTCACAGATCTATTAAAATTTTTATCTATATTAACATTATATATGTTGAAATAAATTTTATCTATTAAAACGTACAACAATTTAACGAAAACAAAATTAAATATGCGCATTTTTACTTATCGATATGATAAGATTGATATAAAAGAATTTTCAGCTACCGCGTTGGATAAATTTTTCTGATTTTGAAGTTGGAGCAGACAAAAAATGACAATTTTTTATCTATTTGGAGTAAACATATAAGAGAAGTTTAGTTGGTTTTGATATTTTAAGTGGGAAGTGTTTGATTTTTATTTGTTGACTAAAGGGCAGTAATGTCTTTTAAACAAAATCATCTTTTGTAATTTTATAATGTACTTAAAGATATTTTCATCTTTTAACCATCAATAGATCATTGTCATAATATACCAGTGTTCTTAAGTCAAAGTGAAATTTTGCCACTTTCACTTGGCCATTTTTAAAGGAACCCCAATTTAAATCAAAGTGGAACTTAACTGAATAATTTATTTTTGAAATAAATAGAATGCCCACAGATGGAATTATAGTTGCTGTTGTGTATGGTGGTAGAATCGCTGTGGTGTATGGTGGTAGTTTCGCAATTGTTGGTAGTGTGGTTGCTATGTTTGGTGAGGTGGTGGTGATGGTGGCAGTTGCGGTGGGGTGTTTGTGGGGGTGTTGCTGTTGGAAGGTGGTGTGGTGGTTCTAGCAACGATAGTGGTGGTGTTGAAGACAGTGGTGAGATAGTGGTTAGAAGTGTCGGGTGTCACGTGACAATTAAATTGGTTAATTTATGATCATTAAACAATACATGACAAATGAAAAATATAAATTGTGATAGAGAAATAATGTGCGACTTAAAAAATTATTGATTTATGATTGTATAATAAGTTGTGACTTATAATATTTGTGATTTGTGATCATTAAATAAATTATGACCTATAAATTTTTTATTTGTAACTGATGAACAAATAGTGACCTATAAAATTTTTGAATTGTAATCTTAAAATAATTTATAACATATAAAAATTCTGATTTGTGATCGAAAAATAATAAACGACTAACTAAATCGTTAATTTGTGATCAAATTTATAGATCTGTGACCTTAATTTATTTAATTAACAAAATAATTAATCAATTAATTAAATCATAAATAAATAAATTTTAATAAATATTCAATTTTTGAAATTTGAAACATTTCTTCTTAATTTTGAAATTGGTCATACTTAACTTCTTAATTATGAATTTTTCCGTTAAAATAAGCAACAAATGTTTAAAACTCAAAATACTTTCAAACTTTATATTAATTTTTTAGAAATTATATATCTATATAATAGTTTAATTTTTTAAAAATAATACATATCTACATAAAATTATATTATTTAATTACATAAATTTTCCGATCGATCCCGATTGAACTTCGGTTCGATCTATTGACCCTTGACCCTCTTTATTTTTCGGCTAAATGTCTCGTTAGATTTTTAAAACATTGAATATCATATAAACAAACATAAACTTGATTTTTAATGTTGAAACTTAAAAAACAAGTGTATGTAATTTCCACTTTAATTAACTCTCTAAAGCCCAATAACGAAAATAAACAAGAAAAATATCTATCTCCATTATATTCAAAATTTTAGCAACTTCGTTAAGAATAATTCCAAATCAAACTAAAATCTGTCTCCAAATCCCATATCAATTGGTCGTTCAGCACAAATTTTAGAAAGAATCCGCATCAAATCCCTTTCAAACCTTAAACTAAATATTTCTCTGAGAATCCAATTTACTCTGAAATCCCAAATTTTCATAAGCATCAATTTTGGAAATTAGACAGGCACGATGATCTTTTTTGTTAAAAAAAGAAGAAGAAAGAACTGATCGTTTTTCTTATGAATGTGTTGAATATTTGATTAATTTGGATTAAGTGTTTGCGGTTTTATTGCTGGTTTTAAGTTTATAGATTTAGTTTTGTAAAACCTTTATTAAGATTAAAAATAAATAAATAAATAAATAAATCGAAAGCACACTTCGCTTTGAGGATTTACTTTTGATTTCAATCCACATCTAAAAATTTCAGATCCAAGCATGTCTTTACAAAATTTTGCTTTAGTTTCAAATTTCTAGGCACGAGCTCAAAAGTCGAGAATAAAATCTAATTTCAAAAAGTTAGACACGTGAAAAATTTGATGAAAATTCGGAGGGTATGAGGTCGTCAATATTTAACAAACATGGTTGCAACTATAATATTTTATTATTAAAGATCAATTTGACCATTAAAACAATGAGTAAGAGATTAAAATTATATTTTTTAGTAAATTGTGATAGACGTTTTTGAAATGTGTAGTTGAAAAGTTAAGTTTCTCATTAAAAATATGATTAAAATTGATTGTTTGACTTTGATTTAGATTAAAGTCACATTTTAATCTCTCCCAAATAAGCCCCGAAAGTACAACTTTTCTTTCAACGGAATGCTACATCTCTAGACCTATTAAATGCATAAAGATAGATAAAAGAAGACACGACAACCATATTCACTTCATAATCTTAGATAACCATATATTGTTTACTTGTAACAATGTTTACCCATTAAGAGTCCACATAACAGTGGAATGTGTTCAAAATTTAGAGAGACTGTATCAACGACTATTGATGAATAAGCACTGAATCTACTTACAAACGACATTCTTATTTGAACATATCTCTTGCTATTAACTTTTCTTGTTTCATAAAGATTATTTTGAGAAGTAATCATTCGTAAGGTGAAAAAGCAAGAAAAACGAAAGAAAATAATTTATTTTTGAATTATGTGATTTAAAATAAATACAAGGTAGAATTGATTTCCAAATATTCAAAAATCAATCAAGATTGAAATTTGTAAAAGAAAAGCTTTTATTGTCATTCCACACTTTAATGAGGTGAATAACAATTTTTCAGGGAATGTGTGGTTGAAAAATAAGGGAAAAAATTTAGACTTATATATAATATTATTGAATTTTGCTATTTATACATAAAAAATATACATAATGGATTACATAATATGATATTGAGAGAAAAGGTTGGACGAAAAAGTTGATTGTGTTTTAAACTGACAAATAACAGAGTGTGTGATATTATGTAATTTATTATGTAAATCTTTATGTATATAAAACATGATCGAATATTATTTTATTGTAAAATGCGTGTTTGATGAGAAAACTGATAAAAATAAATTTTAATTTTATTGGCAAGACAGGGCTCAAGTTCAATAATAGAGGAAAAGTCCCAATTGTCTTGAAATTCTACTTTTCTATAGTGTTGACTAATAGTAGCTAAACGCATATCGTGCAAGTAACGGCCAATGTCCCATTGTTCATATCTACATCCTTTGAATTTTCACTTTTTTGCACGTGAAATTAAAAAATCTAAAACAAAAAATAATTCAACACAAATGTGGCCCACAGATTTCACTTTCTTGAAGAATGAACAGCCGTCGATTCAATGAATGGGAAAATTGAAACCTTTGTCCTCAGTCTAATGTCTTAATAGTAAGTTGTCCATAAGTTTTAAAACAGATTAATATGATCCCTAACTTTTTATTATTATAGCATATCATACAGCAATTACAGAAATCGTCTGAGCTTCCACTTGAAAATTTTATAAATTAATTTGTAAATTATTAAATTTCATTTTCAATTACATTCAATTGGTAAACGAGTACTATTTATTTATTCATTATTTATTTATGAATTAAATATTTAATAAATTCTTTTCAAATGGAGACTAAATCTTTGTTAACTTGTCCACAAATTTCTTCAGCAAAGCATGCTTTGATTTAAATTCTGAGAACGTAGTATCAAAATTGAGAAGAAATTCTAGCACTATAAAACTATAAATACAAGAAATCAGGTGTCAATTTAATATAGAATGACAAAGTTTTCTTCACTGAATACTTGTAATGTTATTATAGGAAAAAGTTATGAATCAACTTACTATGTTAAAGGCTGAAGGCCAATTACATTTAATGAAATAAGTTGAGGACTGGTGGTGCAATTTGTTCGAATTAAAAAGTCCATGTCACCAGATTGACGAATCTTCCTTACGACCTCATCAGGCTTGAACAACGAAGTACAAAAAATTGACCAAAGGACCTGTGATCTTGACTCGTCTTGACTGAGTTGGTGTCCTAACCTTTGTACTATAAATCGGTTCCAAACTCGGTTAAGCAAGTTCACAACACAGCCCGCCCATCTTCTCTTGGATTTATCTACCAGTTGGTGTCCTAACCTTTGCACCATTATATTCTTTATTCTTTTTCCTCTTCTTATCAAGCCAGCTTTTGTCTGCAACTTTTATTCAAGAAAAGTTTTTTTAACTCAGATCTCGAAGTTTCAGAAAACAAGGATGAAGGTTAATTACTGTCTTTTTGCTAATTTTTATGTTTAATTATTGTATTAATTTCATCTGCTTTTGTTTATATTCTCATTGTTGAACATAATTCATTTTTATGAGGTTGAAAAAGTTTTTTTTATGAGGTTGAATTCCTGACGTCTGATTATTCTTAAATGCATCAACCCACTTTTCACTTTTGATGGATCTTATTTATTCCTTGGTGAATCTTCATGCAGGAAATCAAAGAATATTAAGTTCTTGATTATGAATATCTATGGTTAAAATCATTTAAATTAGTATTGATTAAGATAATTAGTTAGTTTTAATTATTTTTCCAGGGATAAAATTTTCTGGGCGTTTCCTAAACTAGATCTTTTCAAATCAATGAATATTAAATTCTTGATTGTGATTATCTATGGTTAAAATCATTTAAATTAGTGTGTATTAAGCATAATTAGTTAGTTTTAATTATATTTCCAGGGACAATTTTCTGGGCTTTTCCTAATTTAGATCTTTTGGTTTTTTTTTTTTGTTATACTAATCACAGAAAGTTGTGTTGAAATTGGAATTTGTCGATGAGAAAATCAAGCAAAAAGCCATGAAAACAGTCTCTGGCCTCTCAGGTAGTCTTTTTCAGTACTTTATATGAAACTGGCATTACGAGTGTAAAGAGTTATTTGATTTGTAGATTTCGATAAAATCCAGATCCTAAAACATCAAAATACCACAAAATTCAATAAATTGTTTTTTCTTAAATTTTCAGGGGTTGAATCCATTGCCATGGATCCAAAGGACAAGAAGCTGACAATAACCGGGGACGTAGATCCGGTTAAGGTGGCGGCCAAACTGAGGAAGCTCTGTGGTACAGAAATTGTGTCGGTCGGGCCGGCAAAAGAGCCTGAGAAGAAAAAAGAAGAACCCAAAAAAGAGGAAGGCAAGAAAGATGATGGTAAGAAAGGAGATGACAAGAAAAACGATGGTCCAAAAGAAGTTTTACAACTGCCAATGGCCTATCATCCATATTTTCATAACCAACAACCTTATTATCATCAACATCCACCACCTTCATATTATGTTAGAAGTGTGGAGGAGGATCCCAATTCATGTGTTATTTGTTGAAAACTAGGATTTGATTCATAAATGAATGTCTTGGATGTTTGGGACCTTTGATCTTTGTTCATAGAGCTTTATTTAATTTTGGTTTTGTTTTATCCTTAGGATGCAAAAAGAATTATGTTCATTTATAATCCTCGTAATTTAATAAGTTTGATTCTATTTACATTGATTCATACCTCCTTGGGGATTTAAATAGTTACCTTTTATCGAGTGCTTCTTGAAAGGCTCGAGTGAAGGAGGAATGTTAAAAATTTGATGTAGGCATTTTATCTGTAAATGGTATTTCCAAAAACGGTTCCTTTCTTTCCTATCCCTTTCTCCATTTCTAAATTAAAAACTTGCTGGCTGCTACATTTGTTGTTTAACAGAAACAGGTAGCCGGCCTGCATGTTTCGGCAATAATCGAATTCTAAACTAACAAAAAGATATAAAAAAGAGTTGCTTTTCATTCCTCCCGCCCCCCACCCCACCCCACCCCCGTTACTTTTGTTATTGATCTTTTGTGGAGAGAGACAAGCCTGCATCTGTCTTTACTGGAGATAGCGTCGGGGCGGGATCTCGCCCCCCAGCAAGGTGAGGCAAAGGGCAACTTTTTGTCTCGTTTGTTACCCTATTTAACTTAATTTTTTTTTATATTTTCAAAATTTTGAGTTATGTTGTTATTAGAGAATAAAATACAAATTCAAAATAAATTTTTAATGGGTAAATTATGTGGAAATAAAATTATTTTTAATTTTGGAGGGATGGATTTTTTTTCATCTTTAGTCTTTACTGCACAACGGCGGCTCTTCGTGTACTGATCAAATTTATTAGACTAACTGTGCTAAAAATGGAAAAATTTTACAAACAAATCCCAGTCTTAGATATAAAATCATGCACATTGTATTGAAACTTTATAAAACTTGAAATTTTACCCCTTGAAAATTTAAATTTATTTATTGCCGAGATCCCCATGTCAAACTATCAAAAAATTATTAAATATAGAATATACCTTAATCCATTAGCAATGATTATTTATTATTGAATCTTGATTTCGAATTTTGAACCTTGAAGATTTACTGCAATATTTTTATATTTGACTTCTTCACTTTTAATCTTAAATTTTGTCTCATTTGATTATTTAATTCTTGTTCTTCATTTTACTTATTAATCCATAGTCTTGATTCTTAAACTCATTGTTCTTGAATCTTGATAGTGAATTTTGGATCTTCCTCTTCAATATGTTTTCTCTTGTATTCTTTTATTGATAAAATGGCACAAAAATGAAAAATTACACATGAATTGTTACAATAACCCTATATATAGTTTCCATATATATTTCGCCCATTATGAAATATAATTATAAAGGAATCTAATTTTTAATAATCCGAGCCACACTTTATTTAAATGCCGTAAGCCCAACAATTTAATTTATTATTAGATCACTTTAATTTTGGACTTAACTTTAAGATAGTTTTATACACAATTACATATATATGCCTACATGACATTAAAATTTTTGCAACAATCTCCATTTGGACCACATATGTTACCTTAACCTTATGACGTCAAAACCTTTTCTATCATAATCAAAAGTATCTCTGAACAATCTTGTCCATTGATTATATCAATATAGGATCAAAACGATCTTCGTTACAAATATCATAACTAAACCCTCAATGATCCATATATCAACACAATCAAATAACATAAATCAAAAGTGGATGTGTAGAATGAAAATTAATGAGACCAACCATAAAACTGGTTATACCTTATTCTTTAATGAGATCAACCATAAATCGAATCTCCACGGATAGAATTTTGTGTCTAAAACATACAATATTCGAATGCATACTCTCACTAAACTGACATATCATCAAAAGATGCAAGCGCAATATGCCCATAAAAGACTTGGGTGATAGCCCCTTAGTAAGCAAATCCTCAATTATAGAGTTTATCTTAATTATTTTATAAAAAACTTGAACACTCTAGAGTTTTTACTTGAAGTTAATGTCTATAAACTTTAACATCATCAAGCTCCCGTTGGAATACAAGATTACCGTTATCACAAAATAACTAAAGGAGTATTTCAAATCCATCCAAAATATGTAACCTAATGACAAAATTTCGCAGCTATATTCTATGATTAAAATCAGAATATCCAATGATTTCCCAATTAGTCTATCCTTAGTTCTCTCTAAATACCGAATAACCTAATGGCTGCTTTCCAAAATTGGCTTCTTTCCAAATATTCATCTCAGAGTTTTCTAAAAATTCTGCCTAGCATTCAAATAATGAATATCATATCCAAACGTATGCAAACTTTAATATACATTAAACTCCCAACTATTGAAGTGCAGAGAAACTTCTGTATTTCCTTTCTTTAAGTTTATTATTGGGGATATAATTAAGATTAAATTTGTCTCCCTTAGTGATAAGGGTATTACCTAGTTTACATACCCATATCCCAAATCCTTTAAGCATTTTATCAATATAGCTCTTTTGTGAAAGTTCAAAAATCTTCCAAAAATGATCTCTGTGTATTTGTATCTCTGACACAAAAGAAGTGTCACCAATATCTTTCACTTTAAAATTTCATGACAAAAATCTCTTGATTTCGTGCAATAAATCTATATCATTGCAGGCAAATGGTATGTTATCGACATACAACACCTGAAAAATATGCTTACTCTCATTGAACTTGATCATCAACTGTATTTTCTCAATATCAAACAAAATAATAATTTGATGAATTTTGTGATATCATTAACGGGAAATCTGCTTAAAACCCTATTTGATCCCCATTTTTGGGGTAAAATGTATTATAAAATAGTAATTTTCTGGAGAATGTATGACTAAAAGTAAGAATTTTTTTTAAATACATGTATAATTATTTTATGGGAGATGTGTGGTTGAAAATGAGATTTGAAAAATGCATTCTTGAAAAAATTGGGCTCAAATAGGGGATAAATTACATTTCTCCTTTTCCTAGTGAATTTTCTTAATGACATTTGCTTTCGAGGTTGTTGAGTTATTCCTGGAACAATCTCTTGATTGTATATAGAAGATTTTGTAATATTGTTTTTATCCAAGAATGTTCATTGAACAAGATCTAGAGCAAGAATTTTTCTGTGGTCCTAATCATTTTCAATTGTAACAGAAGAGATGTATACATATTATTCTTCAAAGACAAATTTATTAACCTTAAAACCTTATCTCTCCCCCACAGACTCGACGTCCTCAAGGATCGAACATTTCTCATTTCAAAAATTGACCTAATAATGGGATTTTTAAAATTTGTAACTCCTTAATAGTTGCATTACTTGGAACTTTATTGAAAATTTAAGCTGCAATCTTTAGTACTTCAACCTAGAGAGATTCTAGTGTAGTGTGAGACTATTCCACATTCCTTTAGAAATTTAGCAAAAGGTTCTGGACGTTGTTCTCTATATTCACTACTATGGTGAGATTATTAATCGTCCGTTTGGTTAATTTATAAATTATTTATAAATGTTTAAACGTCATTTTTTATTGCACATTCCAATGGATCCACAACTAACATTCACCACTCATTCTATAAATTAAATCGTCTAAAAACTTTAGCCAACTTTAAATAAGGCTTACGAAATTAAATATATGAAAGAAAAGAAAAGTTTATCCACTTATTAGTCCATTAACGTTCACTATTGTCTATGTAGAATTTCTGCAACGTTAATGTATTATTAACATAAAAATAAAACTAAAAGTTAAGTGCTAGTGAGTAAAAATGGAATTAAACTAGTTGTACACTCACCCTTTGAGGTGTCAAGGCATTCATTGGAATAAGTGTCGTCAAAGAATATAAATTAACCCATCAATTATGATGTAAATGTAGCAAAACTAGTAAAAAATTGAGTGTCTACACCTTGGATCTGCCATACCTCATAATCGCAAGCAATATAAGGACAATTATTTTCTTAGATAATTATCCCTTCCCAACTAGCATGTTCTTCGACTAATTCAATGGGTTTAGCTCTTGTCCCCCCTTTAAATTTTTAACGGGTCATTAGCATAAAAGGTCCATATCTTTCAATGTTATTGTGCAAAACGTCTTTATCTTTCAATTTTTGGCATTTTCACCCCTACCTTTCACATTCCATTGCACAAAAGGTCATTTTCATCCATTTTTTTCAATAAAATGATGATTTTGCCCTTATATTCAAATAAAACAAAAGGAAAAGAAAAGAAAAATAAATAACTAATTGCAATCATATCTCTAAAATTTTCAAAACACTACCGATAAGTCCTAAATTCTCCACTATCACCACTTTCACAATCCCACCAAGCCGCCACCTATAGATCTACATAGCATCGCATTCATATCACAATACCATCAGACTCCACCACCACCAACCTCGCCTCATTCTCCTCAACATCCTTCTCCACAGTATTGGTCACCAATCTGTTCGAAACAACCATATTTACAGCTCAAAATACCAAAATGCCGTATATAATCCTTCACGTCAATCCATCGAAGGTTATCCCTCGTCTTGACTAACCTATACGTGACCTCATGTCAATCAAAACTGCTTCAAATCATTTGTTGTAATTCTAGAACATTCGAAAGTAGCGACGTCCATTTTGCCAAACTTTCATCCTCCAATTCATGCATCCCACAATAACAAATACCCAAATTGGCTAATATCGAACCGTCAACAAATCCAAACGACAATTGATATGAATTTAATTGAACAAATTATTCCCTCAACCATTTCAATTTCTGGTCCAAAACTCTCTACGGGCGCAATACACGGCAAGAGTTGTCTAACCAAAATTGGTGGGTCCTAAGTACTCTAATATTTCAAATTTGTGTGTGAATGATGGTGGGGGAGTGAGATGAGGTTGGTAATGGTGGAGTCTGGTGGACATGGTGGCCGAAAGATGGTGCTATGTGGATCTATAGGTGGCAGCTTGTAAGGTTGTGAAAGTGGTGGTGGTGGAGGAGAATTTATGATTTCCTTATAATTTTTTAAAAATTTAAGGACCGTGGTTGTAATTGGTTATTCATCCTTTCTTTTTTCTTTTATTTGAATAGGAGGCTAAAATCGTCATTTTATTAAAAAAAAAAGAGAATAAA